AAGCTTCACATAGACCATGGACGTATATCAACTGGATACCTAACAGCCGTTTGACCTACTTTCGGTCTGTGTTTCGGTCACGTGACTAGCCTCTATTTGAATCAAAATCAGAGCCTCGTAATCAAACGTATTCCCCTGGGGAAGACTCAGACGTCATTGCTAAAGATGACGTCATTGTGCGCAATTTATATGCGCATTGAACAACATCCGGGCTTCCTTCTGTTGTTAAAATGGCGTCAAATGATTTTCTCTTTTCAGAAGACTTGGATTGCGTTTTGGACATTTTAGAATTAGATCTTGACGAAGCTGATGAAGTTGACGAAGTTGCGACGATTCGAGGCAAACAGGGAACAAAGAAAAAGACATCAACTCAGGGAGCAAAAAAGAGAAATACACTTATAGGTAGATATCTAGACCCAAAAATGATTTTAATTTAAGGTACAGCTGGAAAGTAACATTTTGGTAATAAATTGCTATACCTGCACATGTTATTTTCTGGTACAAAATAAAGTATGAAGGCATGTGTCAATTTCCCTGCTTTTTTCAGGAAAGTATCATTACATTGTCTTCTTTTAGAATATCTGGTAGGCGTTCAATGGGACCTCCAGGAAATTCTGATATTTTACACTTTCTATTTTTCCAAATTTTCTTTCAAAGTTTCCAGACAACACAGGAGCTACCATTGACCTGTTTCTAGATATTCTAAAAGAAGACAATGTAATGATACTTTCCTGAAAAAAGCAAGGAAATACACACATGCCTTCATACTAAATTTTGTACCAGAAAATAACATGTGCAGGTATAGCAATTTTTTACCAAAATGTTACTTTCCAGCTGAACCTTAAATTAAATTTAGCCTTACAGATTTAGCCTAGACTAGGCGCCCTATCTGTATTTTACAAGTGACCAACAGACCCAGATGGCCTCTTGTACAGGGTGACCATAAATAAATGTGTCCTAATTTTAAGTAAATTTTACTCCAGTTTTTAGGCACTACCACTGGTTACCCCCTAGTTCAACAAGTTAAACCCAATACCACGGCTTTCATTTATAATCTGAGTGTTCTTGTTGCCGTGGTTGGGTTTAACTTCCGTGCTATGCTTTCATTGGTTGCAAATTCTCACTATCAGTTATAAATAAAACGCGCATAGAATTCTATGCGCTGCCATAGGTTATCATTAAAATTTTTTGCATCAAGGACCGAATAGGCACGGATGTTAAACCTAGGGCGGGCCACAAGAAATGTCAGATAAGAAATAAGGCCCAGACTAGGTTTAACTTGTTGAACTAGTTACCCCCATAAATGTGGGGATCTTAATTGGGGTTTGTACTTGGAAGTCAAGATTCTATTACGAGTTTACGTCCACTACGCATTTCCGGAAGTGAATTGGATTTCAACTAATTCAATGAACGCGGAAGTTGACTCGTCAAATTAAATTAACAAATTTGAGGAGACGATACACGTTTCATGGATAAGGGGGTTTTCAGTTTACTGAAAAATGAGCAATGTTTTGAATAAAAGTCAGTAATTGAAAAAATATCGACATTTGAGATTGAATAGAGTCGTCGAACTGAAGCCATTTTTACGACAAAAATGGAGGTTTTGGGTCGAACGACATCACAGCGAATGTTCTTACCTGTCTAGATCGAAAGAGCATCCAAATTTTTGTCTAAATTGATAAGATTGTTGCATTCCGTTATGTTGGTGTGAGGGATGAGGTTGACTTGTATAGTGTTGTGTCATCTCTATCGGAGCTTTGTGTCATGAAACCAAACTTTTAGGTAGTTTTTCTTTGAAATAAGGCAATACAAAGAGGGTGGGAATGCTTCAAATATGCCTAATCCGTCCAGGAGAGGAGTAATTATTATTAGAACTATTGGTAGTGCCTAAAAACTGGAGTAAAACGTTGTTGAAAATTAAGGTGGATAACATTTCTTTCTGGTAACCCTGTAGAAGACCCCCACCTGTACTAGACCCCCACTTGTAAAATACCGATAACCTTATTTTTGGGAAAAACAAGAAAATTCTCTCAAAGTTATTATTTTAGGAAAAACAAGAAAATTCCCTCGAAATTATTGAAAATATGTTTTAGGTAATAAAGTGTGGGGCTGCCTTGTAAACAGAGATGTGAGCCGATAACCGACAATAAAAGACAATGTCTACAATCTGAATTGAAGTTGAAAGCCAATAACATTGTTGTATATTTTTGTCAGGCAATTATTATTCAATAGTGTCTGCAATTATATGCAATGATTGCAAGGGTTAAACAACAAGTAGATCTACTAGAAGAGGAACAAGAGGAAAATAACAAATGAATGCTGACTTTGGTACAATTTACATGACATGTAACTGTGAGGTGGTGACACCTTTTCTTATGAACTGGTCAGTATGAAGCGAAGGTAATGGCCATCACCTTCAAACTGAAAATGATATTTCTTGGATTTTGGTTTCATGACCGTTTCCATATCAAACATTTCCAGTTGTTATATGTACCTTTCCTTAAGCTTTGGAAGATATGGTTGAACTGTAGTGCCCATGCATGATACTAAACAAATGATTATACTTCAGAGATGTCATGTCATATAAGCCAGGTTTAGTTAAAATATCAAAGCATAACTCAAACTATAAAGTAGTTCAATTTGCTGAAAACTAAAAATATTGAAATCGACACTTTCCATTCGTCATCTTAAATGCGAAGGTGACTGCCATAACATTCGCTTGATACTGACCATTGATATTGAAAATCAGTGGGAAGGGTCTCTAAAGAACATTGTGAGAGTCAGCTTGAACTCAAGTTAATTGAGAGAGTCAGCTTGAACTCAAGTTAATTGAGAGAGTCAGCTAGACTCAAATTTAAGCTCGAAAGAACATTGTGAGAGTCAGCTTGAACTCTTGCATTTGATCCCTTAAAACAATGTATATGATTGTAAGTGTCAGTTCCGATTCGTAACTAGTAATAAATGTGACATTTGAATAATGTTTCACTGACCTATTATTATTTTGTTGATATAAAGAATATCAGCTGAAAAAATGATCTTAAAGGTAGCGTTTATGTGAAAAATGCTTTTAAAATAAAGTTATTCTTTAAAACAGCCTTGTAACAAGTAATAGGGGACACACTTGTTTTGTTTTAAAAAATTGCTTTCTTGTGACTCACCTAATGCAACTGTTGGATTCAAACCTGTACTCATAATGTAATATTCCCTTTTATACCATGGTCAGATCAATATCAGGTATATAATAGAAAGTGAGAAATCACATATTTGGGACAGGGATGATATCAGGATTAGAGGGATGATATCAGGGATGATATTTATATCATAGTCTTACGGGGTAAATTAAAAACATTCTACTTTTTTTTTTAATTTTTGGGTTTAAAAATAAGTTTATCACTTAACTTAATAGTTTAAATTCTAGCCTTAATGGTACATACAAACTGAGATTAATTAGGGAAATTTTAATGAAATGGTGCTTAATTTTTTGTAAAAATACTTTAAATTATAACACAAAACATCTGTTGCATGAGAATAATTTCTAGATAAGACACATTTAATTTATTTCATTTATGTTAATTCACATAAAATTTCATTTACCAGTTTACAAAATCAAACTTGAAAATATATTACATACAGGGTGATCCAGAAGTCAAAAGTGTTGCCATTTCTACATTATTTGACTAATCATCTTGAAATTTGGTACAGATGTTCTTCAAACATTATTGAGTCAACATATCAAATATCAAATATAAAGGTTCTACTGTTTGATTGGTTCATTTCACGGTTACTATAGTAACCCGATGTGACGTCACACATTTAATTTTGTGAAAGAAATAGAACTCTTCTTGACTTTGGATATACTTATATCAATAATATTTCAAAATATTTTCATTTGTTTCATGTTGCAATTCAAACATCAATGTAGTATCACATATGATGTCAAACATACTATTTTAGTTGATTATCTATTTTCTTTGACGTTACTTCTGGATCACCCTGTAAAATGTGAACTATACAGCTGGCCACATGAAAAATGACATAAGTTGCTCAATAGCCTGTTGATCTCATTAAATGTATATCCTGGTCAATCATATAAGTATGACCAGTGATTGTTGAACATGGAATACAAGAATAGTTAATAATTTTATGAATATCTCAGGTTTTGATCTAACTGAGGCCACTTGACAAAAGCCACTAATATTGTTGTATATTTTTGATAGGCAGTTTTAATGAATACTGCCTACAATAATATAGGATGATTGCAAGGGTTACACAACAAGGTCACTTGATGACATTGGTTTTAAAAGAGGCATTTGTGTTCCTGTATTTTGTTTCCATTATAAATTATAGTGGCAACCTAGATCTCTCATACAAAAAATAACCTTCAGTATGTATCCATTTCAGTAAATCCTCTTCCAAGCTTAAAAGATCTTCTAAGTAAGGCAGGGGGATGTTTTGAAAGAGCTATAGTGAAAATATCATCTGACCCCATGGCTAAAGCCTATCCTAGTGGATCAAGAGCTGATGTAGCTGTTACCATTGCAACTAAGCTTAAAGAATTACCATTTGGTGAATTTCCAAGCGTACTTATGAGCTTCCTTTACCCAACGCTCGATTCTTCAAAATCAGCTCAACTTAAGGCAAATAAGTCTTTTAACATGCTGCAGAGCTTACATCAGTGTAAAATTTCTAAAGAAGTTACCAAACTCTTTAGTGATTTTTATTCCAACATAGGAATTGAGTATAAGGATTCATTTTTAAGCATCAAAATTATTGATGAAATGTTCAAAGAAATATGTTTCCAAGTCAATTCTTCTATCAATCTGCCATCAACACTTCCCAGTCCCACAGACCTATCACTATCACAAGATGAAGAGAGCACACTATCCTACATTTCTGGCTTCATCCCACACTCATTAATCAAACAGTTATCAAAATCTAAAGGACGCAATTCTGAAATACTATAGTAAAATGCCTGAATTCGTGGAAGGTTAAGGATGAGGATGATCTAAACCCTTCAGCTGAACATTTTGAAACTTATAGAAATAGTTGGACTGCACAGATTAACCGAGGAGGACTCTTTATTGTCAACTCCTCTGTATACTCCTTCTTCAGACAAATAGAACTTATAGTAAGAAAATCACTGAATGTCTCCAACGTTGTCCGTTTGAATAGTTCAAACATAGACCAACATATCTTAGAGGAACTTTCAGTTGATGAAAATGTACAACAGGCATGGGGTGAAATAACTGAACATATTTTTGATGACAGTTTGAATACGTTGTTGATGAAGAAGGTCTTGTCTAAGTTTGTTACTCTTAGAGCAAAGTCATTTGTAAAATTTTGGAAGAACAAGTTAGAAGACATTGACCGACAGGGCACACATAGTTTGAGAGCTTCACTCAGTGCAAGTAGAAAGTCAAAGAAAATGTAAATTTCAAGTGAGAATCAAATAAAGCAAGCGAGTTTCTGATGTGCCTATGTGGTCCAAAAATTATCATGACATATATCAGTATATTGAACCATTTTCCAGGTATAGGCTTGGTCAGTGTCTGTGAGCTGAGAATTATATTATGACATGTTCAATGGGTAGAGTAGACCCACTTGTGACTTGTAACTCACTTCTTGACTGCTTGTAAATAGTTCCATAATAATTTTAATTAGAAAGGACCAGGTATAGTATGGCAAGTGATTTTGGCCAATCATAGCTTTCACCATGAGTACTTTCTGGCCATAGATACAATGTTTTTCATTAAAAATGTGTTTTTAAGTCCAGTGAATGATCAATCCAATTTTCTGAACTTCTTGAGTGTTTCTATCAAATCCTTTTTTCAATTTTGGGTATTGCTTAAGAGCAATCAATGCTACAATGACATTTTCAATGGATGTTTTTGGAAGATTTTGAAAACTTTTAAAAAGGGAATGGTTATTGAGAAATACTTTAGAGTTAAATCACATATCCCAATGTTACTTTCTCATAGGGAAAACTCATGCTCTCCGTTGATTTCAGCATAATTTTGATATGTCATATATTGGACCATTTTCTTAGTTCACATTTCACTTGACCTTCTTGCCCGTCTGGTTTTCAGGCATAGGCTTGGTCGGTGTCTGTGAGCTGAGAAACTGTTTTGAAAATTGATACCTTATGGTGAAAGATATGACTGTTTAAAATCACTATAACCATACTGTACATGGTCCTTTGACTTAAGGAGGAAAGACTTTATGTTGTATTCATTTACAATTTTAAAACAGGAACTCATTCTTTATATCATGTATATATAAGTAAAAATTGAGTTAAATCTGTTTCAAGGCAATCCCATTTGAGATTCACCACGAAATGCCATATAACCATTTTAATCAATCTACAGTAATAGTACCAGCAAAAAAGTTCTAAAAAGCAAGCCCAGTGTCCTGTTTAAGAACCCCAATAGTTACAATAGGGGTTATTAAACAGGACATTAAAGCTAACTAAGGCCGTTTTGATTTTTGTTTATTACAATAAAGTACATGTTGTAATTAATGCAGAAATATTCAATTTCTCTTGAACAATTACTACTTGATAGTGCAGTTTAGTGTTACTTACATTAATACATCATAAACCTTGACATTTTATAATATCTGTAACATTGATATTTTGAAATTGTCTCTAATTTAGGAAAGGAAACATATCAATACTGTAGATACACTTAATTTGATGCTACTTAATTTGGCGGATTTGCTCAATTTCAAATATTGGCGGCTATTTAAATTGGCGAATTCAGGACTGAGCCCAAGTTTTATCACTGATCTGGGAATAAGCATTTCAGATTCATGTGTTCTACTTACAGTGAGCCTTGGTATTGCACTGATATCCAAATAGGAACACTTACACAAGTGAAATAATTGAAAATTACAAATTCCCTGGTGATTTACAAAAATAGATCCGAACATTGGCGGATTTTTAATTTTGCGGATTTTTTCAATCTGTCAAATTAAAATGGTAGCCAAATTAAGTGTATCTACAGTAATTCAATTATGGATGAATCTATAAGAATATAAAATAATGGCTTTATAATGCTATTTTTTCAATCATTTAGTGCTGATTAATGTTAGTATAATTTATAACTACAGTAATCAGCATTAATTGATGATGACATTAAGTTCTATTTGACAACATTGAGAGTTACAAGAGATGCAGTATAGCTACATTATATACTGTAGAAAAAGGCCTAACAATGTAAAATGTTTGCTTTGTATCACTTAGATTGAAAAATGTTATCATTATATACATGCACATTATGTACAAATTATCATGTCAGGGTTATCCAGAAAATCTTTTCTAATATAGGACATCAATATCTACCCAATGCCTGACTGTTCTGAATGTATTTTGTGATTTGTCTGGAACACCCTGTATACTTATTCTCCACAAAATATAAAGCCAACAATATACTAGATGAATTCTATTGTCATTATTGACATCATACTCAAAAGTGAATCAAAAAGCATGGTAAATGTTTTCTCTAGTTGAAATATGACACATTTATGTTTACATATTAATATCATATAGGCCTAACTAATGCTAGAACATACTTTATATGTACATACAGTATAATATGTAATGTAAAACCATATACAGTGAAACCTGTAAAGTGGAACACCTCTAGAAGTGGAACACCCCTGTTAGTGGAACACTTTTAAAGAGTCTCAATGCCAACTGACTTTATGTTAAACTAACCTCAGTCTATAAGTGGAACATCTCCCAAGTGGAACATGTTCTAAAAGTACCTGAGGTGTTCCACTTGACAGGTTTTATTGTATATTGTATATAATGTATGTCATCTTTGGATCACTTTCAAAAATATATACCAGGAATGAACAAATAAAATTATGTTACATTGGCTTTTAGTTATATATTCAAATGTTTTATGATGTTTCAAGAGACACCAATAGTCTTGCTTCAAGCCCTTATAAAACCATCTAAATTATTACTAAAGACTAAACCTGACATGGCCTGCATAAATATCCGAATTGATAATTTTAATAAAAACAAACTACTATAAACTTTTCAACTCTGAATTCTGCACAGTTTCATTTAGACCTTTGTTGATCTATTTTAAAAATCCCCTGACATTTTCAATATTTACATTTCCCTGACATTAACAGGTCTTCAGCAACCTTATTTATACAGAAATAAATGTAGACATTCTCTATACTACCACTTTTAGCTTTGGGTTATGAACTAGGAGTCTACAACCCGTCTGCAGTTTCCTCAGGAGCTGCATTAAACATTCTCAATCTGTAATTACTAAGATCTGAGAAGATTTTAGATGAAAGGAATGCTCAATTTACATAATATAAGAAATCATCTTTACTGGAACCTAACACACACCCTTACTCAGATACAATTTACTCCTGTAAATCAAAATGTGTACTACTGTGAACAAGTGATATAAAATAATATTTAAGAATGTAATTACTCTATAGTATTTACAGTTATTTACATCTAGTTTCACTATTAGGATTTAAAGCTACATTAATGTCAATGTTCAAAGTAAAAGTTATCCAAGTCCACACTTTGAGGCCCTTTGACAACACCAATAGTCCTCATTAGTACATATTGGGCTTCTGTGTATATTTTAGTAACAGTGCCTATACTACAGAGTGCTATCTAGCAAGGGCCTCTGTTCATTAATGCTATTCAAAGCTAGGCTATGTTCTAAAATGTTCCTCGTTATAATCTAGTTACGCTAATCCAATTTTCATAGTCCATTTCTGTGTGCTCAAAGGTTATGAGAAGTTCCAGTCAGTGCCATATCAAAATAAGTAATTATGACATATAAGTTAGTTCATAGCATAGCCAGGATCTTCATCCTGGTAAAGCCACGCCCTCTCCATCTCTATCCTTCTGGAGGCAACTGAGAGAGATGCTATGAGTATCAGAATGAGGATCTTCACCATCATAATATCCATTATTATCATAATCAGAGGGTAGCTTGATATTTTGTTGTCTATAAAACTTTCTCACGCTAGTCCACTGGCAAATTTTCAACTACCGCATTCTGCATCCTGTTCCTGGCTATTAACATGATTAAGATAGGTACATTGCTTAGAACAGTTTCTCAGCTCACATACACTGACCAAGCCTCTGCCTGGAAACCAGACGGGCAAGAAGGTCAAGTGAAGTGTGAACTAAGAAAATGGTCCAAACAGCAGTTTTGTGGAGAATAGACCAAGCCTATGCCTGGAAACCAGACGGGCAAGAAGGTCAAATGTGGTTTAACGTCTCTTTTTCGGTAGTGGCCTATCATCATTGTCCCAGTTGTGATCAACAACCCGTCTACAGTTTCCCCTCATATTAGGAGCTGCATTAACGTCAGCAACTTGGAAGACCAGGGCATTGTTGCCAAACTGCTCAACTGTAGGGGCAGTATTGGCTCCCCCTGCCCTACGATGTCGGGAAAAATGTTGTTCCAGTCGATCCTGGCATAGTACTTTCTCACTTAGTACATACTGAACACCCTCCTCTGCCAAAAGAATCGGAACTAGTTCAACAAATGATCTCACTGCAAATTGAAAGGAAAAATATTATTTGATTTAGACTTTCTGAAAGTGGTATAATAAGTGATAATACTATCAGTGGAAAAATAATATATACTTGAATTAACTTTATAAAAATGAGTGAAGATAGGCATAGGCATCACATTGTCTTACCAAACAAACCAACTAACAACTATATAATCTTGGTATGAGAACAATAGATCATTCCCATAAACCCTACCAAGATTTGGATCAAAGAAGCAATACGGTATTGCCATTGGCAATATTAATGAATCCATCTGTTGGTACTTTTCAAACCTAGAAAAGTTAAGCAAAATCTGCATATACTCAGAAATTGCCATTAACCCGGCAGCTCCACCATTAATACACTTTTTGCAATAAGATTATGTTTTTTCAAAAATTGAGGTCATATTGAATTCCTATTGATACCTAAAAGGCATGACATCATCATTGTAGGCATTTTATCGTTACTTATTGTTTGATGTACAAGAAAAGATGGCAGGGTTTATTGGAAATACTAGAATATTTATATTTTGATTGGTTGAATTCAACATTACCTGTTATTTTCCAACCTTCTATGGTCTCCCAAGACAAGGTTAGCCTGCTCCTTTCATCTTTGGTAAGACCCTGGATGTCATTGACTTCCCCCTGCCAGACATCTAGCCAACCCAAAAAGTCGTCTGTCAACCACTAAAGTAATATAAATGATATAATTGTTCACAAGCAAGAAGCAAAAATTAATGGGCAAAACACCAAATTACTTTAAGAAAACATTCTCAGGGAAAATGGTGGGTGAAGTGGATCTAACAGGGAACAAGCCAAAGGATATATACAAAATACATTTTTGCACGCAATCTATGGGCAAGGTAGCTTTATGTACTTTTCTGTAGTATTTATAATCTCAATAGAAGCCCATTCTATATCCAATTCTTTAATCTCAGCTTACCTGTAACCGCCAGTCTGGCTGGCCATCCTTTCTGTATACTGCACAGAAAGGCTTCCTCTTCCACTGAGCCTCATTCACATGTCTGACATTCAGTGCATCGAAAGCAGAATCAATTTTCCGAATGAATTCGATTGTGGATGTAAATTCCTGACGGCCGGTCCATTCCATGTAGTGTGCGACACTACTACTCAAAACCTGAATTAAAAAAGTAATTTCCAATTTTACTAAAAATAGAGCATGCCAACTGAGCTGTGTTAAAATTAAACCTACATATTTAATCAACCTTGCATCATTATCAATTGATTCAAATGACAGAAGTTCTGTCTGAGCTGAGTGTAATCTGAGATTGAGTGTAATCTGACTATAATTTTATAGTTTTATCCTATATAATAATTATAAAAAAATAGTGTGTTTTATATTATATGTACCTGAGCTGCAAGGTTGACTCGCATACGTGTGTGGGGCCTGAGTGAAACATGGTCTCTGGTCAATTTATGCAGGTGCATGAGACCTGGGACATTGGCATTGGCATTTAGGTCCATTTCATAGCATGTCCTCACATGGCCCCATCGTATTTCATGACCATGTAGCTGAAAATGATTCACACATGACTTGATACAGAATAATACAAGATTTCATTCATTGACATTATAAACCCATCAATATACTAGATAAATTATATTGTCATTATTGACACCATAATCATAATTCAAAGATAAATAAAACACAGTCCTATTGTTTTACTCCCTTGTTTTACTAAAAATGCACAAATAACTAGGCAACCCTAGGCTAGGTGTGTCTGATTCCAGCCACTCTAAACACAGAATTTCACAATACAGCAGTGCATGAAATAATCAATAACACACTCAAGGTCACTAGTTAAACAATTGTCATGAAGATGAATTGACTTTTCAGATTGCAATTGATGACTTGCCAAATTGACCCTTGCAGAAAATGTCATTGAAACTGTGTTATTTTACTGATTTCGTACCTTTTAGACGATTTTGTAGAAAATATTTTGCAATGTGTGAAAAGAATTTAAGCCCAACACTCAATGCATTATGTAATGACAATTCCTTCAGGCTTTGTTTCCTACAATTAACACTTGATAGAGAGCATCTCGTGCAAATTTTGGAAAACAACACCTCCAAGAAGTGGTCATTTCACATTGCACTGAGTCCAGAGCTTAATGACAAATGACATACAGTAGAACCCATGTACAGTGAACAATTCTGTGAAGTCATAATTGTAAGTAGGTGTTCACTACATAGGGCATTTTATTTAAAAGTTTTTTTAGGATGGGCTAAGAAAGGGTGTTCATCTGTGACAGTTCACCAGAGGTGTTCACTAACACTGTATTTTAAAATAACCATAAATTGTCAATAGACAATGTGTTAAGCTTGTAAAAAGCTTACTTCTACACTACAACTACTACTTTTACAAGGTTAACTCACCACCATATTACGGGAATTTCTGTTCCCTCCAGAGTTCTCCCAACAATTTCTTGATGTCTTTAGTAGATGGGGGACGTCAGATACAAAGTATAGATCTCTGGCATCTGGGGCGTAAGGGTTGGGGGTTTTGTAAATAATGGAGTCCCTGGGCAAATCTGGATGGAGGTGAATTCTAAAGAATTTTCTATTGGGGGAAGCTCCATCACACACAGCTGCTCTTACTTTTAGGTCGATGCCTTCTAGCAAGGAAACAGCTCCCCACACAACAGGAAACAGTTGGGCTGCTGTGAATCCTATTGTAGGGTAGTAGCAGAGGGGGAAATGTTTATTAATAAACAAAAACTGAACCATAAGCACAAGAATGTGTGTTGCCAGCTCAGGGACATCTGGAGTGTCAGCATCCAGGGAGTTGTTGAATTGCTCAATCTCACTATTGAGGTCGCCATGTTGGACAAAGCCCACAATTCTTCCCTGGGATTTTGAGTATACTAAATCATTTTTGATTTTTATCTCATCAAAAAGAAGTGTTACATTTCTCTGGTAAGGTTTCAACTGGTCCAGTTGAATAAGGTCAATAAATCTGGATAATGATCCTATGTTCAATCCAGATTCCCCAGATGTGTAGTGGGTATAGTCGTATATGGTCTGGTGGGAGGGCAAGTTAAGAAATGAGGAACCTTTAATAAAGTCATATGCAGCCGTAGAAATGTTCTTTAGCTGCATGCACCACTTTATTACTATAGGGTGCCACCTCATTCTTCTGTTGTCCAGGAGATTACAGTACTTCTGCTGTTCTGACAGCATCAAAGCTAGAGGAGACTCAGGTTCAATCCTCTTGGTGTTTTCTGCTTTGTTTATGATTTCCTTCATGATATTATGGTTAGGCTCATCAAGTTTTACGCCACTCTGAACAATTTTCTGTTTGACCTTCTTGCGTAGCAAAGCCACCTTTACCTTTGTCTGTTTCTCTGCTAATTTGAGGTTTTTCAACCGTTCTTGGCATTCATCTAAAGATAGGTAGTCATATCTTGCTTTACTATCTGATCTTGTCATACTTTCAGAGTCTCTTTTCTGGGAACGGTTATAAGTAACTCTCAGGTTGTCACGTAGATGAACGCACTGACTACATTTCAACAATCCTTCTGGAATGAGCATATGGCAGACACTTGACCTGACAGTTCTTGTTATTACACTGGATCCAACTTTAAGTGGATAACCATCCTCAATACAGGCTTTTGAAGATCTCCCATCTCGCTCATCAAGCATCGTTAAGAACTTTTCGTCATACTGCCCAAGACATATGGAAGAGTGAGATATAAGTGAGATTAGAGCTGTAGCATAGCATCTGCTTTACAGGTCATTCTCACTGGCACATTAGCTAATGTGCTACATGATGAATTACAGTGTTTATTGTGGATGTAAAGCGTCCATGTAAAAAGTTTATCAAAAATAAGGGAGATTGTAACTACTGCCTTGCTGTCATGAATAGAGAGTTTTATGAGAGTAAGGGAAGTGTCAGAGCAGTCACCAGTGATAAAGCCGTGTTTTTCTCCTATGGCTCTGATTTCAATATAAGTCAGTGGTGGGGAATCTCCAACTGCATCATTGCTCACATACTGAAGTAAAATACATATGTATTTATATATTATTATTACAACAATGAATATGCAAAATGATTTTGATCTGAAACTTTCTTGTATTCTTGTCAAGAAATGTGCTGTATAAAACTCTTTGAGTGGAATTACTTCCCTCCAAATATATCTACTTGTGTGTCAATGTTCACTTACATTATATTTCAGAAAGATTTGATCTAACCAAAAATATTATTTACTTGTTGTATTTACATTTATACATGGACTCACTAATGAAACAGCAGACCTTGCTGGTTATGAACCAGCAACTTCCCCAGGTTAATGGGGATGTGTTACATTACACCAAAGGAAATTAACTATTCATAATGTGGAACAGCAAAAATGTAAATACAACACCACCCTCCCAAAAGTGAACAAAAATTGTAAAAGAACATTAACAAACAAGGCATTAACATGCAAATGTCACCACCAATTACAGTAGTTACTTAATGACTTCAAAAAGAACACTTAGGGTCAACCAGAGAGGTCAAATCTAAGGTCAGAACTCCTTCTATGCCTTCTAGCAAGGAAACAGCTTGCTGTTTCCCCACACAACAGGAAACAGTAAAAAGTTGATGTCATTCTAAACAGTACTTGTTATTGGAAGATGTAAAAATGGGTTACAAATACAGACATTGAACGCCACTATGCCAGATGCCAAACACCATCCACTTTTTTGTTGGAGAATAACAGTATGTCACCAATTTTGGTGGTGACATAACAAATCATTATCATCACACAATGCCACCACTGACTTTTCCAAACTCAACGTCTAACAAAACACCATTGAACGCCACTATGCCAGATGCCAAACACCATCCACATTTTTGTTGGAGAATAACAGTATGTCACCAATTTTGGTGGTGACATAACAAATCATTATCATCACACAATGCCACCACTGACTTTTCCAAACTCAACGTCTAACAAAACACCATTGAACGCCACTATGCCAGATGCCAAACACCATCCACTTTTTTGTTGGAGAATAACAGTATGTCACCAATTTTGGTGGTGACATAACAAATCATTATCATCACACAATGCCACCACTGACTTTTCCAAACTCAACGTCTAACAAAACACCAACAATATACTATTCCCACCATCATCTTACTTACGTCAGGTCTTAAAGATTCCAAGCTGTTGGACTCTTTTTGTACCCTGTTACCAAATTCCAAGTCCATCTCTGGCGCCTCTTCAGCATTTGTGGCATTACAGTGTGCTCCGGGTTGCTCCAACAACATCTCTGGTGCCTCTTCAATGTTTGTGGCATCACTGAAAATTTTAAAACAATCTGTCAACCTTTAAACTTGTAACAGGGATCTCTCCAGCATTTAAGCAAGTGGATACTGAATCCACTTGAGATTTTAATAATAGGCTTGCACCCACCTTAGAATCCTTTGGCATCCCTTGAAAATTAGATAAATCATGAAATACAGGCAAATTCTGACCACCAAAGGAACACATTCTAGATCTGGTCATTTGTTCTACATTGTAAAAATAAAAAGTTTCACCCAATTAAAAAAATATCCTGGGGAGAACACTGTGTACTTTCTTGAACAGATGAATAATCAAGATTGCTCTGCATTTATATATAGAGAAGGAGGTGACATTTCATTATCATACACCTTTTACAAGATTTTATATTGTTTTTAAGTTTTAAAGTGATAAAACATACCTGCTTTTATCTTCATCTTCAGTCTCGGACTCTTTACTCTTCTGTCCTCTTCTTTTCTTTGGACCAGACAATCGCTGTGATGAACCCTTTTTCTTGAATACCATATTGCAGCAGTATCCTAAAATCAAGAGTGTAAACTATTAAATCACAGAAACATTGGTACAATGAAGCAGTGATTTTGCCATATAATAACTTTTATCCATCAAGAAAGAAGTTATTAATTAGAACACTTTTAGGTACACTTTTCAGCATGATATGAGGGTTGTTTAAGATTGTTAATTAGACAGCAGGATTGGTTTGTATCATTTTCATAGAGAGGTGGGTAATGTCTAATTATCATTCAATTTTTACAAGAATTTAATATATTTTGCTTTAAGTGATAAAATGTACCCTGTTTTATCTTTAGCTTCAGTCTTAGAATCTTTCCTCTTCTGTCCTCTCATTCATTTCTTTGCTTTAGTCCATCCAATATCCCGAGTCAAGAATCAAGAGTGTAAACCATGAAATCACAGGGAACAGTGTTACAGTGAGCACAGACATTGCTATTAAATAACATTTTTCCATTTAAGAAAGAGTTATTCTCCAAAAAAAAGATGTCATAAATTAGAATTTAAGAATTTTCATAAGTGTAAGGTTTACTTTGATGCGTTGGTGCCCTCTAAATGATAAAAATATTGTTATGTAAAAATACCCCTACCCAAAGAAATTGAGAATATTTGTATATGTAGGGCTGACTTTGATGCATTGGTGCACTCTACATACTAAAAATATTGAGATTCTAAGAACACAGTGCAGTATTTGTGTAATGTAATAGACTGATGTTCAAGAATGCTTCATTTAAACAGCAAAATAAGCAGAGAATCAGGTGACATTTAATTATCATACACTTTTTGCAAGATTTTGTTTTGCTTTTTAGTGATAAAACATACCCTATCTTTATCTTCAGTCTTGGACTCTTCTTTTCTTTGCTTCAGTCCATTCAATCGCCCCTATGAACTTCACATCTTGAATACCATAATAGCAGTATCCTATAATCAAAAGTATAAAACAATAAGTATATAAAAGTTTCAGGCATTTAAATCTTGCAAATAAGTCGATTTCTTAATATTGCTCAAAAGCCAAAAAGTAACTGACATTCTTAATCTTGCTTATCATCCTAAAGGCATTTTATTTTTTCAATCAGGTCAGAAACAAACAACAAGTAGTATTATCTAGGGGAAGCATCATACACCAATCTCTACTAGGGGGTCAGTTTGAGACCAACATAATGAACATTGGCCTAATAGTTCCTGAGAAAAGCTTTACGAAAAAAATCCATTTTGCCTTACCCCTTACCAAGAAATTGAGAATATTTGTATATGAAGGGCTGGTTTTGATGCATTGGTGCACTCTACATATTAAAAATATTGAGATTCTAAGAACACAGTGCAGTACACAATTTTAACAGCTTCACAGTGATAAATGGAGTCATAATATTTATCTATATCCAGAATTGCAGTCCTACGCTAAAAAACATGAGCGCTGTTATGTAAAAATACCCCAAATTACCCCTACCCCAAGAAATTGAGAATATTTGTATATGTAGGGCTGGTTTTGATGCATTGGTGCACTCTACATATTAAAAATATTGAGATTCTAAGAACACAGTGCAGTACACACTTTTTACAGCTTCAGAGTGATATATGGGGTCATAATATTTATCTTTATCCAGAATTGCAGTCCTACGCTAAAAAACATGAGCGCTGTTATGTAAAAATACCCCAAATTACCCCTACCCCAAGAAATTGAGAATATTTGTATATGTAGGGCTGGTTTTGATGCATTAGTGCACTCTACATATTAAAAATATTGAGATTCTAAGAACATAGTGCAGTACACAATTTTTACAGCTTCACAGTGATATATGGAGTCATAATATTTATCTATATCCAGAATTGCAGTCCTACGCTAAAAAACATGAGCGCTGTTATGAAAAATTACCCCAAATTACCCCTACCCCAAGAAATTGAGAATATTTGTATATGTAGGGCTGGTTTTGATGCATTGGTGCACTCTACATATTAAAAATATTGAGATTCTAAGAACACAGTGCAGTACACAATTTTTACAGCTTCACAGTGATATATGGGGTCATAATATTTATCTATATCCAGAATTGCAGTCCTACGCTAAAAAACATGAGCGCTGTTATGTAAAATTACCCCAAATTACCCCTACCCCAAGAAATTGAGAATATTTGTATATGTAGGGCTGGTTTTGATGCATTGGTGCACTCTACATATTAAAAATATTGAGATTCTAAGAACACAGTGCAGTACACAATTTTTACAGCTTCACAGTGATATATGGGGTCATAATATTTATCTATATCCAGAATCGTAGTCCTACGCTAAAAAACGTGAGCTCTGTTAAGTAAAAATACCCCTACCCCAAGAATTTGAGAATATTTGTATATGTATGGCTGATTTTGATGCATTGGTGAACTCTACATATTAAAAATATTGAGATTCTAAGAACATGGTGCAGTACACAATTTTTACAGCTTCACAGTGATATATGGGGTCATAATATTTATCTGTACCCAGAATTGCAGTCCTACTCTAAAAAACATGAGCGCTGTTATGTAAAAATACCCCTACCCCAAGAAATTGAGAATATTTGTATTTGTAGGGCTGACTTTGATGCATTGCTGCATTCTACATGTTAAAAATATTGTGATTCTAAAGACTATAGAAAATACACAATTTTTACAGCTTCACGGTGATATATGGGGTCATAATATTTAGTATGGAGTCTTACTGTAAATACTCAAAAAGAAGTGTACTTATTGAGCCTGATAGATACTAGGCCTAGGCTGTTATTATGAAAATGTCACAACGGAAAATTCATGTAAATGTAACACCATCAAACTGGCATAAAACCAACAATTCAAACATCTAGACATTGGTTAAAACATGACGAAATACATAAGTCATCGTTATCAACTATGACTGATTCATTATTTCCATTCAAAAAGCAGTTATAAAGAAATACATACCGGATTTTTTGAAGCGGTAATTTCAAAATGGCGGCAAATTGAATCACATATGGATTTCCCTATCACGTGACCGAAACACACATAGAATTGAGGTCGGGCATGGAATTCCGTCTCTCCGCCAATCAAAAGCCAGTATTTCAGTCTGTTAGGTATCCAGATGATATACGTCCATGCATAGACATACTCTGTGAAGTTCTCCACCGAATGGTATATGCTATTATAACTTTAGCAGACACAAACTAGTGTATGAAGCTTATGAATAAACTTACCGCCCTTTCGACCTTCCACTGAGTGGCCATTTTGTGTCTTTGCCGCGTTGCAGTCTCGTTTTGAACAGATATGCTTGACTGCGCCGCGTTACCTCTGACCACGGTGATTTTTATATTAATAAAACTGAGTGAAAAATAGCTAGAAATTAATGGAACTTCATTTTTCAATTGTTATGACGTCATAACAATATTGTAGAAAATACATAGATACACGCGGCAACAAAACTACATTGTTATGACGTCACAGCTAAGTTTTGTAGAATGAGCATGGATACGCATAGCAACGGTGTACTCTTTGCCATGTTGTTGATGATTATAAACCAGTGATGTCACAAGTAAATCTTATCTTGCACCTGTGACTTTTTAGGATAAATTAATATCTTGCATGGGGTAAAGATGGCTGTATCTTTGTTAGTCGTATGAGAAAAGGAGATCCTCCGAATTGACCTTTTGCGATCAGAATTCAGGAATTTTGTTTATGGATACTGTTGTCACGTATTTCGTCTTATTGGTATGACGTCATATAGAAATGATATTAGACATGATGGAATCACGAAATGGCGGACACGTGGCAGTTTTGAGCTAAAAATATTGTCGTTTCTTATATAAAAACCATGGGTCGGATATTTACCAGGTATGCCTATTTGACTAGATCATGAGTATGTCTATATATATGCGAAGTTTGGGTGAAATTCATACTAAACATCGATGCCTATACAGCGCCCCCCGTTTTTGTCAAAATCGGGGGGCGCTAAACCGCTATCTAAATCATGTCAGTAAGACCTTAGACTTGGTATGTGCTTAGCATGAATGTTGATCTAGTCAAATAGAACGCTTTCGTGAAAAATAAATCAATAAAGCACGACATATAGAAGATAATCTCTCAAAATCAAGCATCTAAAGCTGTGTGACCTAATTGTGACGTCACTAAAAGACAGAATCCATTCGGTGATCGCAAATCATCAATTGACAACCTCAGGAAGGAAGCTGAAAAATCCAAGTTGTGAGACTTTAAATCCAACTTGAGAAACTTAAAATCATTTCCACTTGTGACGAGTCCAGCCCAGAATCAGATGATCTCGATAGTGACGCTCCTAGTGGAAGTCAATCTTCAACATACTGAACATGACAACAATCGATCATGAGTCTAGTTCAAAGGCATCTCTGATTGAAATGTTACATTGGGTTTACTTTTTGACTATATAAATCATGTCAGTAAGATCTTAGACTTGGTATGTGCTTAGCATGAATGTTGATCTAGTCAAATCGAACGCTTCCATGAAAAATAAATCAATAAAGCACAAAATATAGAAGATAATCTCTCAGAATCAAACATCTAGAGCTAGGTGGCCTAATTGTGACGTCACTACAAGATAGAATCCATTCGGTGATCGCAAATCATCAATTGAAGTGGTCTGTCACTTCTACACAACAAATATAACATTAGTCCTACAGTCTGCTTATAATTCGGGTGTTGCAACTTGCAATATCCACGCCCACACTGATTCCTCGTCCTCTGATTGACTGAATGGCAATTAATTCGCAGGTCGAATTTAACTTTTTACCACTAAATCAAATGCCACTGTGAACTTGATTTGTGTATGCAAATTACGCTGAAAGAGCGTGTACAATTGTAAGACAAAATTAAAAAGAAACGAAGTCGATGATTGCGTATTATATAAAATAATTTAAAATAAGACATTTTGGTAATATTTATTTAATTCTGGTCAATATAAGCAGGAGAATTATATATTTTAAACACAGGGCATTAATATATACTTGACATCATTGTTGACGGCTGACTGCTCTGTATACGTCGATATTAATATATGTAAACAATGTGTTGTTGTTTTAATAGTTTAAACGTTACATCTATAAAATTGATTGTCTTGTTTACATCGATTTGTAGTAATATTTCAGGTAAGTGCATCGTCAATGACAACGTCGTGACAAAAAAAATAGTTTTTTTCTCAAATAAGTTTCTTTCTCATATTCATTGATTATTTGGTCCTTTTTCTCTAAATCCAATAGCAGCACTGTAGTTATTAATTATAAATGGCTACTGGCGGAAAGATTTACCATGTGCATTCGTTTGACTTCACTAGAGAGCTTCGTCTTCAGTGTAACTAGACTCTGCATGCGGGGTAGGAAAGATTCAGTTTGGTACTTTTGTAACCATTATCAGTAAAAGCTAATACACAAGGTTAAAATTGTTATCTTTAAATTCGATATTATTGTTCGAAAATTGGATTCCTGAAAGTTTGGCCTTTATATATTGTGATTGATCATCTGATAAAACCAAGATAAAAATATATAATGTTACATACAGATTGTTTTGGAATCGTTTGCATAAATGCAAGGTACAGTCCTTTTTGAAAGTATGGCATATGCGCTTTTATTTAAAAGCATATCAAAGCATGCTTGTGTTTGGATATTGGTTTTGATTATTGATTAAAAATTGAAATTGATTATATATATTTGCGTCATTAAGCAGACAGCACGGATATTAATAACAAGTTAGTGCAGGATTGAGTCAGTATGACTTGATACAAACACTTAAATTAAGGAAACTGGGGTTAAGATAGATACAAATATTATAATTATGATACATGATTCCTCAATCGTATATCGTGTAGATTTGCTAGAATAAATTACATTTTTGGAATCTGTTTTTTTTTGTTCAATGTATCCTTAGAAATATCTTAGCGTAGCCGTTTAACGGAATTCCTTTGGATAAATCTTTTGAAATAGTCACATCAAAGATTCGAATCTTTCCAACACATTGGACAAGCACAAAAATGTTTAAGCGGAAGCCATGGCTCATTTGGCTTGAGCAAGGTCTCTTTGTGCTTTTTAGATAAAGAACAATCAAAATATTGAAAAAATATGTGATAAGACCCCATTTACTGTGTCCTTGATCACGTGTCTCCAATATGCAGCCCCATTGATGTCAAATGGTCCATACTGCATTCTTCAGAGATTTCTCCCACAATCCTTGATATCCCGCCAGTTCTTCTATCACTCTCCCCCATATTCTGCGCAAGGACTCCCATTACAACCCTCCATCTCTGCATCAACATATGTATCCTGTATGTTCAATGTATCCTTAGAAATATGTTAGCGTAGCCGTTTAACAGAATTCCTTTGGATAAATCTTTTGAAATGGTCACATCAAAGATTCGAATCTTACCAACATATTGGAGAAGCACAAAAATATTTAAGCGGAAGCCATGGCTCATTTGGCTTGAGCAAGGTCTCTTTGTGCTTTTTGGATAAAGAAAAATCAAAATATTGAAAAAATATGTGATAAGACCCCCTTTACTGTGTCCTTGATCACGTGTCTCCAATATGCAGCCCTATTGATGTCAAATGGTCAATACTGCATTCTTCGTTTTGCCGAACTTAATTAATGATCTGTTTTGCCGAACTCTGATGTTTGAGATGTTAAGCACAGCTTATGGAAGATGCGATGGTTTACCTAAGCACTCGATGCTCTGTTAAGCTCTGTCTCAATGGTAGCCGAACGTATTGCATTAACGAAGCTGTTAGGTCATTTAAGTCAAAATAACTGAGTCTATAGTATGTATTAATATTATATAAAAATACATTGTAGTAAGTTACAGTAAATGTAGTTTTATGTAGTATAACAATGACAATGGGCATACTTTTCAGAAGATTTTGTCAGCACTAATGGAAAGTATTCAGTTTATGCTCAAAAATGTTTTTTTATATGGCGCAATTTCGGTATCGATTTGTCTGTATTGGGACTCTGTTGTTGAAATCAATGAATTCGCAACAACCTTTTAGGCATTTTCATGGTTTGATGATTTTTTGTTATCCCCACTCTTACAAGGGTTCACATGCTGTAGCTATATGTTCATTCTAAAGTAGCTTTGTTTTCACAAACATGACCGTTTTATCCCTAGTTCCCTTAAAAGGCAAATAATTTATACCATTAAATATTTCAAACAAACATACAACAAATTTATATTTCCTTTGTATAACATTTCAATATTATATTTGATATATTAACAAGTATGCTCATTAAGCATTATGCAGCTTTAAAAGCAAACGCGATCTAATTTTGACGTCGACGACACTTACGCATTGAACTAAAGAATCTACGAGTAGCTGAAAAAGATGAGACTTGGCAGTTTAACAGGACTTTTGACAGTATTCTTAGCTGTCTACATAGAAGGTAAGTAAAATTTACCTGATACACTTTTCGTTTAAAAAAACTTATGAATTCTTTCTGAGTAGAATCTTTTAATATTTTCCTCTGGATCATCGCCTCCATCAGAAACATAAAACCTGAACGTTATAAATGTGCTAGTGGCAAGGGTATCTAACTTATCTAACTAATTCTATACTAATCATATGTATCGATACCATCGCTAGATGTTATGATGGTAGATTGGTCATTAAGAAAAGATTCTGTGATCCCAATTATGGAAACCTAAAAAGTTTTTAAGTTGTTGCTGTTTAGCAAGCCTAAACCATTGGACATTATTAAACACGAATTCAATATTCTCAGTTACAAACTGCTTACTCTTCCTTCTGCCCTTTTTCTAGCGTCTATGGCGGTGCCGGTGTGAAAGAAATAATGGTCCCCCAGGGATAATGGTCCCCTTTCTTAACGGCTCTTACTGGCCCTGATTGCGTATAAGATAATGAGGGAAAGTGTTGTATTTAGGTCAACATATAAATCAATGGAGAGTAGGACCATAATTTGATTGGATCTCCTACCCTTTTACACCGGCTTTCCCTTATGGACCAAAATTCCTTTGAAGGGGGGGTATGGTAATTATGATTTAGGGGGATTTTGGACCTAGAGTGGATAAGGCAGAGTCAGTTAGCAGTTCAGTTGCACAATTATTCTATACATAAATTAGATTTGTTTTCTTCCTTTTTGTTTCAAGTTTCACTCATTTAAAGAAAACCTGGATGACAAAACAAAGCCCGGTGTGAAAGAAATTATGGTCCCCTAGTGATTATGGTCCCCCTTTTTAAAGGCCCTTACTGACCCAGATTGTGTATAAGATAATAAGGGAAAGAGATCATCATATAAATCAATGGAGAGTAGGACCATAAATAAATATGACCTCCTACCCTTTTACACCGGATGTTAAATGACGTCTACTTTTGGGGTTGTCGAGTTGGCCGAGAGGGCTTGAGTGCTAGCACGTTTAGGCTAGGCGATTGTGGCCGTAACCACGAGGTTGCGAGTTCGAGACGCGTGTGCTCCTAGCGTTTATTAATTTGGGATTTTGTTTTTGCTCGCTTGATTTCACTCGATTCTCTCGATCTTCATGCACTTTAAATAAACTTTAATTTACCTTAAACATATGTCATGTAATAAACAAGGGCAACTAAGAATTATTAAAACAGTTTTATTATAGTTTGGGATATTGTTCGGTATTTTAGCAGAATTTTAATAAAAAGACATGTGATCAAAGCCATTTCTTGAACAATATTTAGCTTTTCTCCCTTTCCATCATGTGAAAAACTCGAGGCGTTGATTTATTGTACTTCTTTTTTGCTGTTCTACTTTTTTCTTGCTACTGTTTCACAGAATGGACTTACTCGACATTGACCAAAAGTATCATTCGTACATTTATTTTTGAAATCTAGCAAAGTAGTGTTGAAAAGTTGCCCTACTGGTTAATATCGGGACTCGAAAATGGTCTCGTTTATATTGAGCCCATGTTAATTTATCAATGTTCAAGAGATCCCCTTCAAAACAGTTGTAAAGGTTTTAACGATTTGGTGTAAAATGGCAGAACGTGTATTTTAGAATAAATAATACAGTGGTATAAAGCACTAAATTGCACTGACTAACTTTGCCTGAAAGTACAATATAAGAAGATTTCAATTATTAGACAATGAAAAGAATTTAAAAATCATTCAAAGTGGGACCCATAAATATCTAAGCAGAAGAGATTGTACGGTCGTACCAAGCCAAACGGTATTTGTTCGTCGATAAAATACCTGGTCGCGATCGTCCATTTTGTTAATAAAAAAATAATCTCAAGTACAGGGTGTTTCAGAAAAGATGCAACCCACACACTTTATAATTATATTATTTGCATATCCTTTTAACCAATGGAGGTTGAAAAATCTTCTATAGCATAAGTAAAGTTAGATCAATGTTCTATAAGAGGTTTCTGGTAATAATACACTTCAATCTGCTCGATGAATCTATTGATAGCAGAACACTATGTTTATAAGATGTAAAATCGAGCTTACCTCCAGAAATATCACACTACTATACCTAACACCTAGAAATGCATAAGATACTTTGTTTGTCTAATTGAATTGTTTAATATATTTTTGAAAGTGCCTTACTAGCATCTAATTTTCAACCGATAAACCATTCATAAGGAACAGACAAATAAAAACAAATACATAATCATTACTAATAAGCCAAATGGGTTGCTCATGAACACCAAATGCAAGGTATAGTAGTGTGAATATGGAAATATAAATAAACTCACGTCTTATATTTGCAACTACACTTTCGCCTGTACCACTTTTTAACGTGGTCACGTGGTAGGATAGAGTGATGTTGGACGCATGAATGTTTTGTTAGAGCTTCATGTTGTTAACCACTATCTTTCAGACACATATGCTGGTACATCGTGTTGCCACAAGACAAGAGAAGAGCTGAAAGAAATGATATCATTGGTATCTGCAATTGAAGAAACGCTAACAACCAAAATGTCCGATTTAAAAGCTGGCATCAAAGAAGAAGTATCTTCCTTGGCAACTGGTATTTCTTCCGACGTGGACACTCTAACGGCTGGTATTTCCACACTGACAAAGATGGTTTCAACACTCTCAAATGCCATTTCTTCAATAAAAACGGACGTGTCTGATATAAAAGCTGAAAATGCTGGTATTAAAAGAGACATCGCAGCATTAGTGAAGACATTAAGTAAGTACGTAAGTGTAAAAATGGAAAATCAAATAGGAATTCTAATAAAAATAGCTACGGCACCACAAACGTTAGGTTAAATATACATTTGTCAAATTAATGCTTTTAAAATAAAAATGGAAAATCGAATAGGAATTCTTATAAAAATAGCTATGGCACCACAAACGTTAGGTTAAAAATATTTATTTGTCAAATTAATGCTTTTAAAATAATTGTGTGAATTAAAAATCAGAAATTTCTACCAAAGAGAATAACTTACTTATCCTGGTTAGCGTATTGGATTGTGATATTGGTGCTTGAATGGTTGTTGAGGGGTTTGATAGTTTGGATTTAATTTCGATATGACAGGTGTACCCTTTGATGTTTTCTTTAACTTGCATGCTGCGTTTTGAAACCTTTTTGATGTTTTCCGTTGGCACTTGCAATCGCATAACTGCCGTTGTCTTCAAGTACTTCTCATGACGTCATTTACATTTTGCATACGCGGGCGAGTTCTCAAGAAAAATATTGCCTCACTAGAAATGACCTGCCTGTAGTTTATTTTGATTTTCAGATAAAACAAATTGCGAGTTGACACCCTGTGAAAATGATGGAACTTGTAACGAAACAGAAAATGGCTACACGTGTCAGTGTAAGAGTGGATACACTGGGAGGAATTGTGAAACAGGTTTTGAAAAATGTCAATATTTGTACTAGGCTATATAATAACGTTATTTTACTTCAGTCTTGCATAGGTATCTGATAAAGTATTTTACGGGGAGGCATCAAAAGATCGATGTATTTTTAGAAACTTAACAAATTAACGTTGGGAACTGGAGTGGGGGATTCAATACTACTAGTTTTCTATCCGACAAATCAATGTTTTGACCATAATAGATGCTAACCATCATTCTTAGCTTGTAAAAATTTTGCTGAAACTTACCGTTTTCCGTCATATATTTGGTATGTTTTTCTTTTTTCAATTATCTAGCCCGATTTTCAACATTTTAAGAATTAAGTTCTAAGAGGGGTGGGGGTCAGAGGTAAACTTAATTGGTTACGTTTTTAACAGACATTGAACTTTTGATGCCTCCGCTACAATCACAATAGATGGAACTTCCATAATTCTTCGGTTTTCCGATGACTTTGTCTTTCCATGTATGCTATTGCATTTTTGAATGAAAGATCTTGCTGCACATAAGGGATTATGGAGTATAATTAGGCCTTCTTCATTAGTAATTCATGTATATCATTTTAGATATAGACGAGTGCGATTCGAGTCCCTGTCAAAATGAAGGCACCTGTATTGACGAAGTAAACAGATATACGTGTAAATGCAAGGCTGAATTTGCTGGAGTCAATTGTACAAGTATGTAAAGATAATTAATGGTTGGTTTAATGCTACATTTTTACCAAATATTCATCTGCATTATGTTGTACACAAATAAGCCCACGACAACATCATCAATGAAGTTGAATGAAGTGTTAACGAATTCTGAAAACAATTTTTTTTTTCTTTTCGACGAATGACACATGCAAAGTAAATAAAACAAAAATATCATCGAAACAAATAATAATTTCGAACATGTTGATACTGCATAATATAAGCGTTTGCAATTAGAATATGAATCGTGTGCCAAATCCTAAATTGTGACAACGTTCTGATTAGGGCCTCCTTTATATTTAAGCTATGGGTATCAAAACTAAGATAGAGGGTGTGAAATGAATATACTTATCTCCCCCTTATTTTCAAAGTTTTTTTACCGCCTTATAGCTCCTTCAAAAAATTCTAATGAGTTCTTTGACACCCTGTAGTTCCCTGAACCACACATCGAAGCAGGCCCCATCAAAATACTAACATTATAGGAGCAACTAGGGAGCAACGGTGTGTAAACAAATATTGTTTGCAAAATAATCTCGAATAGCAAAGGGTAATGCAATGAGCAATGAGCTACTTCTTCTGGTATCCTTATTCTAGTTATACTTCTCGGGAAATGAGATTTATTTTTTCAAGAGAAAATTTACAACTGAATTGCCAAATGAATAGGCGCAGTGCATGGCAAAATATGTCAGGTCATCTAGTATTTTTTTGAACTGATACCCTTCTAAGATATGAGATCTTTTAAAAAAGGCGCATCATCACCAACGTGCAAACGTTAAGCTTTGCATATATAATCGAAACTGAACCTGTACGTATCACTCGACCATATACAAATTCATGTAGCCTTCTCATATAAATAGCCGTTCAAATCCAGTGTTTGTTTAGACTACACCATAGTGTGTAATGATTCGTAAGATTTTTGGCGCTAAATCATGCATGACATACATCATCGTGTTCAGCAAGAATTCAACTGTGCATCGAAATCAAAATTGACAGCACAGTGTTCAATAGACACGAGTAAAATGGTTCCCGTTGACCCAACGTCAAATTTCAAATGTCCCGTTCTAAACCCGAAACTCTAAAGCTGAAAGAGTATCTGAAGTAGACTAAGCGCGCATAAAACTATGAGCGCACGATACATTCCTTTGTTAATTTTTGTACTTTGCGTTCACGGTTACGTTGTGAAAAACATCGTTAGCTTAACCTCTCCATTCTTTCGCATAGACGATTCATAAGATTATCATGTACTATGTAAAATTCCAGTAATCTGATTGGTTGGTTACCGTCTAACACGTTACTAAAGGCAACCAGTGATGATTTTTCATATTGTTTCCTTTAATACTGTTAATGACGTTATTACTAAATTGAACGGGTACACGAGGATGGGTTCATGGCGTAAGAGTGAATTCGAAATAGTTTTGATTGTTTGTTATTTAAGAAATATAGACCGAAGAGCAGGGGTAATATCGTCGAATACACCCCTTAGGGCTAGGCACAAACGTTTTCTGTACCCCGAACGACCACCCTAATGGGTGTATTCGACGATATTACACCTGCTGCGAGGTCTATATTACGATTCGAACTCATCAAAATGTTCCGAATATTCATTATGGTCCGCCATTACTACGGCCCGCCGTTATGACGTCGCAAATTACTCGTATTAGGGCTATTGTTAGTGAATATACCCCGGGTGAAATGTTGACTTTGTTCACAGTTTATAGAAGGCGTGAATACAGTCATGTTTGAATGATTGTTATTGTTACTGATTGTTATTGGCTTTTTTCATGTAATGAGGAAGTAGCCACGTACCTAGTCCATTCGAACATGACTGTATTCATGCCTTCTATAAACTGTGAACAAAGTCAATGCTTGAGCTGGGTTATATTCGAGATCAATTCCCCGGCTCTGTACAAAGTGTTTCGTTCAGTGCACTCATTGGTCAGTTTAGGCCGTTCCGTTCTTTTCGCATCCCCTCTCGTCTGCAAAATTCAGAATGGCAGGGAGAAATTGTCCAGAGCCAAACTTTTCTGTCGGAGCATTTGTAAACTGTAATCTCAATAATTTTAATAATTATCAATGTAGTAGATATGCGTGAAACCAATAAAATAGGCCGAAATGTCAATAAAAAACTTAAGTCGGGATCAGGAGGTAAGTAAACAAATTAATACAGCCAAACGCTCAACCGGAAGTGGAAATGAAAAAAAGTGGAAATGAACATCGAAATTGACGATTTTGCAATATTCTGGTGAGTTTTCATGTTCGAATCGTAATTTAGACCTTAGAGCAGGGCTACTACTTTCGAATACACCCCGCAGGGTCTAGGCACAAAAACTTTCGAACCCCTCACTCCCTTCGGTCGTATCCGAAACGAGTAGTTTTGCTCTTTGGTCTATATTTCTTAAATCAAATCACTGGAATTTTACATAATATGTAATAAAATCGTCATTACATGTTTCAGCTTGTGTGATACGGGGTCTTTCACTCAAGTAAAAATGAATAATTTTACTTTCGTATAAGATTTTCTGTATCACACACTGAAAAGTACAGGGTGGTAAAAAAAACTGGAAACCCTTACACCATTTTCGTAATATCTTTGTCATTTTAAGAAATAACTTTGCACATTTGTACATCACTCAATTTCCTACCTGCCTACCTTATTTCATGACCATCAGATTGATAGTCACAGTGTTACAGCACTTTAAAGAACATTCCCGGTGGCCACTATTGCGCTGAAGACCAACCTGAACATGTCGTCCAAAATGTCATTACCTATGGGGATATGGCAGAGATAGAGTGTATAAGAATGACCTCGGGACAATTGCAGACCTCAAAAATGAGATCATCTGTATCATTCAGGCCACACCTGATGAGGAATGCATTTGGATCATTGACAACTGTGCAGGTTTGCCTACGGCGCGATGATGGCCAAACCTAAAGCATGTTGTTCAAAAAAATTAAATGATTTACAGATGTGTGAAATATTAGGGAAAAATTACTTAAAATGACAAAGATATGAGGAAAATGCAGGGTTTCCGTTTTTTGACCACGTCTTTTGCGCAACACCTTCGTTTTCGCAAATTCTCACCAGTTAGTTTTCGAATATAACGCGTCGTTGTGATCTTTTAATCGATTTAAGCATATTCCTTACATCTTTCTTTATTTTGATGTGAAATAACAAGCTATAATATAGGTTAAAACGCCAGAAATTAACATTAACATTATTCGAAGCGTTATTAGAAAATGTTGAATCCGCCAGTTTTGTTTGTCGTTTTGAGCAATCAGAGACGTGGGTCATCTCAATAGGGGTTAACATTATACGCGTATATCATCTTTGAACTCTGAGGTTAATTCCCTTCTTCATGATGGTGATATTCCTTGCAATCTGATTAGTCCACGTGACTTAAATATATCCTGTATTTGCACGCACATTCCACTTAGCGTTGGATACAGAGTGAAAATGACGTCAGCGTTGGGATATGGTTCAGTATCCCAACGCCCCAGATTTCCATCCAGGATATGACTATTACTGTAAAAATCAATGGCGAAAAGTTTACACCAACGCATGCTAAAATTTGCATTTTGCTAGAAATATCTAATTTGAATATCAGTAAATGATACGGTGATCATCACAATCTAATAATTTTAGCTAGCGCATCGTGAAATACGACCTTCTCGGGAAGAATATTTTCTGTATTTCACTCGAATCATTGAATAATTATTCATTGAATAAATATTCATTGAATATCACACCTATAGACGTAAAGCGCTGTGCAATAAATGATGACTTAGTCAAACGCCCAACAAGTTATACGTTCTAGGGAGATAATAAACATGCTAGTATTATCTAAGTGAGATGCGACATCTCTCTATTTACTTAAACATTATTACTTGTGTTTTATGTAATTGCAGTCACCATCGGAAGGCTAAAAACCAAACCAATTGTTACAAATAGAACCCTGACGGTTGGCTTTATACATGATATTGCAGTAACATGTAGTGGACATATTGTGGCAACGGATATTAACACCGCAAAGATATATGACCGTGATTATACTCTCATCAAGGACATTGGCAAAGAATTTTCTTTTGTAACAGTTACAAGCGATGACAAACTTGCATTCACTACTTTTAGTTCTAGTGAAATACACTTTTATACAACAGACGGCAGTTTTATACGCAACATAAATGTAACGGTTGAAGGGGCTCGACTAACTGGTCTCACTTCACTATCTACTGGTGAGTTGGTTGTATGCGATGGAAAGACAGACAGAGTGTATATTGTTGACCAGTATACAGGAAATGCAACACCCATCTCTGCTAATGGTACGTTTGAAACTCCTAATTATGTGACCATTAATAACAAGGGTGTAATTATAGTTACCGACTACCACGGAGATTCTGTAAAAGGGCTGAGCCGAACTGGCTCAGTACTGTTTAGTTACGGTAAAGATGGACCAAAACCCGAAGAGATGTTGGCTGTTCCCCATGGTGTCAAGACAGATTCACAGGACTATATAGTGGTAGCAGAAGCCTGGGAAGACAATATTCACCTGCTTACCCCTAATGGCACGTTCCATAGTTACCTCCTAACGGCAAGTGATGGCGTGATCTTCCCAAGAGCTGTTGGGATAAACAAAGATGGTCAAGTTATGGTTGGGGATAACAGAGGACGATTATTTACTATCACATACAGGGAATAAAATGAATATAAAACATAAGACAATATTGAACACGATGATTATTGTGCATTAATATTAAAATGATTAAATATATACAAATATTATGCATATAACTGGATAACAGCAAAGCTAAAGCGTAGCAAAACCCATCGAACAGCCAAGCCTGCCAGAAAATGGCCGCGCACTAGCCAAAGTGTCCTAGGACAGTTTGCAAGTATTCACATATCAAATATGATAAAAAATCCCTCTATTACTTTTTGAGTTATAGTAGGGAAACGTAAAATAACACACGTAAAATGGCGTACATTTTCAAAATGGCCGCCTTCTAGGCAAAGTGTCATAAAATAGTGTATCGTGCTTAAAAGTATTCACATATCAAATATAAACAAAATCACTATCCTTTTGGAGTTATAGTAATAAAAAATGTAAAAATGCACGTATATAAGTACAGTACATGTAAATCATGGCCATTTTTCAAAGTGGCCGCCTTCAAGCCAACGTGTCAAAATCAGTATATAATGCTCATGAGTATTCACATATCAAATATGAACAAAACCGCTCCACTACTAAGTTACTGCAAACAATCGTAAAGTAGCGTGTAAAATATCTACATTTCTAACTTCATTATGTCCATTATAAATGCTTTCGCTATTACAGATTTATATATGATACCTAAATTACTGTAAAATTGGCCCTAAAATGGGCGCTATTTTGAAACAAAAGGCCATCTTGAAAATAAGATTTCAAGCAGATTTTCTACTCCCATAGTGCACATGTGTACAAAATATGAAGAAAATCGGGCTTACGGTATTCACCCGGGCAGACGTACACCCGGACGGAGGCATTCCCTATATCTCTCCTAACTTCGTCAGACGGGATAAAAAGTTTACGATATTGAATCACACCCTATACGAAGTGAGCAGGTCAATGCTTTTCTTCTTGGAGTTTTGACGTTAAGAAATGATTTGTAGTATCTAACTTTGAGAAACTTCGATAACATCGTTTGTTTTCTTACCTCAATAGGACTTATGTGATTTTGCTGAACTAAATTTGAATCCCGAAAAATAATTTTAGAACATCAACTTTGTTGACCTTACGAAGGTCACTGAAGGGATAGAAAATGTCAAATCTCAAAACTAAGGTCAGGACTTGTAGATGATTTGTTAAAACAAAATTGATAAAGGAGAACGTTGATAAAATCAAATAGCCGACTTGACAAAAAATTCAAAATGGCCGTCATGTAGTTAAGCCAGCACACCCAAAACCTAATCAGATCTTGGCACTTGTCTGCTCTTGCATCTGTAAAATTTCAAGTTGAACGGATAAGTGATTTTCCTTGAATTTTAATGACAAGATTTATTGAAAAATTCAAAATGACAACCAAGTAATATACCCACCAAAATTTGAATATGAAAATAAATTTTAAAAAATCAATTTTGGGCCTTTTGAATGTCGCTGAGTGTAAACTAGAGATCTAATCGAAGGTCAGATTCGAAATTTTGAGAATTTTTGATGATTTTCAGAAAAAAGATTTGGAAAATTCGGATCAGGTTGAAAAATTCAAAAATGGCCACCATGTAGTTAAAATTTTCAAGTTGAACAGGTGAATGGTTTTCTTGGAATTTTGTCTAACTTTCAGAAACTTCGATAACTCATGACAATTTTTTGAAGGAGCTATAAGGCAGCGAAAAAACTTTGAAAATAAGAGGGAGATAAGAATATTCATTTCACACCCTGTATCTTAGTTTTGATACCCATAGCTAGTTTGATGACCTTGACCTTTGACCTTGAAAATTTTACTTTTTCAGACCTCACTGGGACTTTTGTGATTAAGCTGATCTAAATTTGAATAAAAATCAATCTTTTGGCCTTTTGAATGTCGCTGGCTGAAGTTAAACTAGAAGTCAAATCGAAGGTCAGATTCGACATTTTGATGATTTTTAGGAAAAAGATTTGTTAAATTCGGAGCAGGTTGAAAAATTCAAAATGATCGCCATGTTGTTAAGCCAGCACACACAAAAACTCTAACATCTAGTACTGATTACTTAACACTAACATCTCTAACTCTAACATCTAAACACAAGTCTACTATTGCATCTGTTATCCCATCGCACAACATGACCACGATATAGCACTTTTTCCGAGTCCAAAGGGGAAGAGAAGTTACCCGGAGTGAGAGTCTGGAAGTCGGAATGAGCGTCGCGAGAAATAGAGAAGTTGCCCGGAATGAGCGTCCGTACATTAGCCTCAACCCACCCCCCTCCCCCTTTGTTATAAAACTCCCGGCCGGGAATAACCCCCTTTTCTGAAAGACCACAAGCCAAATCAGAGACCAGGAACAGAACATTGATTTGTGCACATTTGTGGCCTTGCCCCTTTTTTAATGGATCTCGTTTCTTAGAAGCGTGTCGGCTCAAAAAAAATCCGAGAAGACTTGAAGACTTTACATAAATTACCATACCGCGCCTATACATTTAACAATTCCAGATTTGTTGTATTTTATAGCAGAAATTGCCTCCCCCCCCCCTCCGCCCCATTTCCCGATCACTGGGCGTGATAAGTGTTCACGTTTTTTTAGTTTTAAAGATTTTTATTTTTCTGATTTGTCAAAAAAGATAAATCGATTCACCATACAGCATTAAATTCACCTTATACTACTGTCTGAGTTGACCAAATTAAGATAAATCAATTGCAAAGTTCACGGTTGACTGCAATATGCATGTCTATATTAATGTATGTACACAATGTTGTATGTTTAATAGTTAAAACATTACATTTATAATTTATAATATGCAATCAACCTATCAACTCACTTTTTAAAGATGTTGACCTCATTTTTACCAAAATGCAATCAATTTCTACATTGTTTAATGCATTACTATTCTTTATTTTAATGTATCTTTAAGATAAGTACTGTGTTCCCCATGTTATTTCTCCATTGAAAAATCTCATGCTATCCATTGGTTTCAGTTCATTTTGGTCATCCAAATTCAGTATTTTTAAAGTCCCCATGGCCAGAGCAATCAAATTTTCCTTTAAGGAAATCGAACATGTCTCAAAGCACATTCTAATTATACATTCAACAATATAATACAAGGTTGCATTTTTGGTGAAAATTAGGCCAATGCTTTTGAAAAAGTATGTTGATTGGTCCATTGCTCCTTCAATATCACTTAGGTCTGATTAACTAAATTATCATTATATATACTTTTCTTGAAGATAATGAATGGATCTAAAAGATACACCCATGTTTATGATCAGAAAATTTTCATAATTCAAGTTAGAATCGTTTGAAATTGTTTGCGATAACCTAAGTGCTCCTTTATTGAAAAGGGTAAAATGGAATTCCAGAATTATTTTTATGTAATATGAATCTCTAATGAAGTTTTCAACAAATCACAAAAATACTATTTAGAAAAGGGTAAACAAATGTTTAACACATGTCATTCTGACTCTAAAGTGAGTAATTTTCACATATTTTCACAAAACCTTAATCTAAATTTTTGTAGATACACTTAAATTGACTTGTCAGTATAAAACTACAACGTCTCAGAGCATATTAAGCTTCACTTCACTGGCCAGTCATGCATAGATACTTTGTTATCCTATTGTTTTGAAAGGCACCCTATTGTGTTCTTGTTTTTAACTTTGAATGACCTTCTCCAGTCACTGACAGATTGAGGTGCTTCCGCAAGTCAGACCCCTCTGATTTTACCTTTATTGTTTAGTATTGACATTATTGCATAGTTCAAACATGAAATAAGAGAGGGCCCTGACTGCGGAAGATACGCAATGTGAAAGTATAGCAAAAATTTAAGATTCAACAAGGAGGCCATATTGGATCTGCCAGACATCAAGGCTCAAACTATCAGATAAGTTTTAAATGGGTCAATCTATTTTTGGATTTGTCATTCATGCCTGCTCCTGAAGAAGACATATTGCTGAGGGACTGAATCGATATCCATTTACCCATTTAAAGGGACACTGCTTGCAAGGTAGTTCTCACCCAAAGAAACTTATGGATCAATCTATTTTTGATTCATCATTCATGCCTGCCCTTGAAGATGATAGATTGCCAAAGGACTGAATCAATATCCATTTACCAATTTAAAGGGGCACTGCTTGTAATATAGCTCTTATCCTAATAAACACTAAAATATCTTAAACAAGGAATAAATCTATTTTTGATCCATCATTCTCCATTTAGCTCAAAGGGACACTGCTTGTGAGATAGTTCTCATCCAAAGAAACTATTGAATCAATCTATTTTTGATCATCATGCATACATGCCCCTCAAGATGATATATTGCAGAAGGACTAAATCAATATCCATTTCCCATTTAAAGGGATACTGGTTGTAAGGTAACTCTCACTCAAAGAAACTAATAGGTCAGTTTAAACCTACTATATACCAACTGAGGTGATCATGGTAATATTGCTGAGAAGCCTGTGTTAAGATTCATTGATATTACGTTTTTAGGAGTTATTTAATGATTTGTGGCTTCAATATATTGCCCTTTGTGTTCTACCTAATGATATTTTGATATATCTATTGACTGAATGGTCAACATACTTAAAATAGTCATGAGAGAAGACTAAGATACCCCTGAAATGATATTTAGAATGATTTTCATAGCCAAACTTAAATGCAGCGAACGACCTCAGTTTTAATCCCAATGTTCATAATTGATTAAAGTAAATAATTCCATATTATTTTCAACGAAACCTTAAGGGGCATCTTTAGGTAGATGGGGTAACTGATCCTTTACAATATGACAGGCCTCCGAAGATAAAACTTTCTGAAGTCGTTGTAAAGCCTAGTATAACAAAGAGTTAGGACATGTTTTGGTATTAGTATCATGGTTTGGTAGCTTTCAATCAAAACATTATTTCTATTGCGGTAGCAATCTCTTTTTTGATTTTTCGATGAAAACATATAAGAATGAATCTTTGAAAACAAAGTCTGAACCCCTATGTTTTTCACAAACGTGACCATTTTATCCCTAGTATCCCTAATTATTGTGGTAAAAAGTCGATACGTTATATCAAGTAAATCTTTCAGACAGACATACAACAGAATTTGATTAATGTTTCCTCTGTATAACCTTTCAACATTATGTTCGATGCATTAACAACGATACGAATTAAATTTACCGATGCAACTTTCAATGACATTGAAGAGTTGCATATGCACATAGATTACAGATCCAACGAGTCAGAGGTCGTACATAGCCTATTATAACTGAAAGATGAGACTTCACAGTTTAACAGGACTTTTGACAGTATTAATAGCTGTCTTTATAGAAGGTAAGTAAATATTACAGCATACACGCTTTGTTTAAAACACACAACGTAATAATCAAACTTTTTTTATTTCTATCCAACACGCCTAACCATCGATAAGGTAGTCACGTGACAGTGACAAAATATACCGTAGTACACTTTGGATGTAAGATGTCACTATTTAACCGATTTGAAGCAAAGACAATGATGTATGTTTGATGTAGGCTTTAAAAAAACTTAATGAATTTTGAAATGAAATCATTACATTGTTTAATAATACGTATATCCCATGAATTTCAATTACAGGGACAACGTAACAAGTGATCTTTAACGAACATATGTATTTTACGTTTTGTTAGCTATTTGATAGATAGACATACTGATCTATACTAGCTTATTGAATATGACTTTTTAAAATCCCGTTCATGATATATTTGGAAAGTTTCAATAGTTCAAACTTAATGAATTTTGAAATGAAATCATTACATTGTTTAATAATACGTATATATCATGAATTTCAATTACAGGGACAACGTTCATTCGAGTTGACAACGCACATTTCTGATTTTTTAAAATTACAACAAATACTTGAATATTTATTAATCACCACCCGTCCTAAATTGTGTAGCATAGAGAAACATATTCTCATAAAAATAATCGACAATCTTAGGCAACAGAGGAAAAAATTATCAAAGGAAATGTGAAAACCCCAACATTTTCCAACTGATCAATTTTCGTGGAAAGATTGACTACAAAAGAACACAGAACACTGTTCGAAAATCTTTTAACGTTATAAGAAAGTTAAATGTCTTCCTAAACGAATACACACGAAATTAAACATGAAATCTTTCAAGTATTCCCAAGACTAATTTTTTAAAACCTACATCACACCTGCATCATTGTCTTTGTTTCAAATCGGATAAATAGTGACATCGTACATCTAAAGTGTACTACGGTATATTTTGTCACTGTACCTTGTCGATGGTTAGGCGGGTCCAAGTCATTGTAGCTGAGTAAGAAATGAGGTATGGCATGGCGCATTGCCAAAATGGAGCAATGTCTTACTCTTGAATTTTTTACAAAAGTGATCGTGTGATCAATAATTGGATTGATTGTAACAGGAGCCACCAGTTCCATATTAAAATTACGACCTCTCAATATTCACATGTTAAACACATTTTTGACTGTTCGTTTAAAGCTTCATGTTGTTAACGACTATCTTTCAGACACACATGCTGGTTCATCTTGTTGCCAAAAGACAAGACAAGACTTGAATACCTTGGCAACTGGTATTTCCTCTGACGTTGCCACTCTAACGGCTGGTATTTCTACACTGACAAAGATGGTTTCAACACTCTCAAATGCCATTTCTTCTATAAAAACGGACGTGTCTGATATAAAAGCTGATAATGCTGGTATTGAAAGAGAAATTGCAGCATTACGTAAGTCAAATGGTAAGTACAAGGAATGGTCACCAATGGAAAATCAAACGTTAAGTTAAAGGTAGAATCGGATATAAAGGAGTGAAAAAATTGCAAGTAACATGTACAACTAACCTAGTAATCTATTGTATTGTATTGTATTCTTTATTTACCTCAAGAGAGTTACAATTGTACATTAATTGGGAGTTAATACATAAATATGAAAATATTTACAATCTCAAATACAATATCTTCCAAAAGATTCATGATATGTTATAAATTGACAAAGTTATAATGGATTAAAAGTGCAAAAATGGGTTCAAATGTTTAAATTCTCCCAAATAATAAGAATGGTAACCATTCTTATAGAAAAATAATACATTATTGTATAAATCTTTATTAGTTTTCTTGAAATAAAGAGTGCACTTTGGGATTTTTAAAAAATAGACATGTGAACGAATGACATGAGCCAGAAATATTCTAAAATTGAAAGCATTTTTTGTTGGCCTGCTCGCTAGATCTGATTCTCCCTTTAAATATACATTTGTCAAATGAATACTTGTAAAATAATTATTATGTACATGTCAAAATCACAACTACCAAAGAGAATTACTTGTTTATCCTGGTTAGCGTATGAATTGTGATATTGGTGCTTGAATGGTTGGGAATGGGGAATTAGCTACTGTTTCTTTTCACATTGGATTGCGCCATTGGCAAGAAAGAAACGCCCTGGCATCAAAATAAGAAAGATAAGCGTTTGTTTTGTCAGTAGTTTAATGCCTTAGCACACATGTAGGCATAACATCGCCTAATGTAGGCTTAAGTCGGTTTGTTGCACGTTTAGCACCACCAGGTTGGGAGGTTTTTATTTCTTCAACAAGTTCAATTTTTGAGAGATACGAGTATATTCGATTTCTTACTCTTCTCTCATAATCTGAAAAAAATATTAAAACAAAATGGTAAAGCGTTTCTAAAATCGTATGCAAAACTGATAAAGAATTTCGAGGAAAACAAGCGATTTCTTGAGAAAAAGTAGAATGGATTTGGACTAGAATTTTAGCAAATGAGAATATACGAGTGTACGATCTACAACTTTGACGGATAGATTGACGTTTTCATATAAATAATAAACCTACTGACCTAGTTTGATTCGTAATTCATGCACACTTCATCAACTTCAGATTCGTTCGATCTACACTATGGAGCTTCAGGCCCGTAGCCAGGGGGTTCGCAGGGTTCGGGCGACATCTTCCCCTCCCTGGCCAAAAGCTCTTTCAAAATCATGCAGTTTTTCACCATTTTGAGCACTTCTCAAGTGATTTTAGTCATATTTGGGCCAAAATTGTCAAATGTGAACCCCCCTGGAAATTTTTGAAAACTGACCCCCCCCCCCCCCCCCCATAAACATTCAGTAACATGCCAAGAATCATAGGTATTCATTGAGTAGTTTTTCTCTAAAATTCGTGATGTGAACGCGATGAGCTAATATTCGTTGATTGACTACTTTATTTTACCTCTAAAAATTCATAATAAGTCAATAGCAGCTCGATGTTCATGAAATAAAAAAATTGAGAGGAAATTCAATGTCTTAATAATTATTTATCAAACAGAGCAAAAATGATCGTAACGGTAACCATCAATATCTTATGAATTTCATAAATATTGGCATCAACTTCCACCATCGCAACTTTGTCGCTCTATCCCCGACCACCTTGATTTTTCGCCAAAAAGTGTCTTATATCTGTGACTCAAGGTAAAAAATAACAGAGGCAAAAAAAATTGCAAAAAGTACCAACGAAAAAATTGAGTTTGAAACTGACTTTGGAAACGTATTGTCTCACTTGACAGGACCTACCCAGGCCCATAGCCAGAGGGGGAGCTGGGGGAGCGCCCTGGCCAGAAATTCTTTCAAAATCATGCAGTTTTTCACCATTCTGAGAATATTTCGCATGGATTTTAGCCAAAATTGTGAAAAGTGCTCCCCTTCCTGGTAAAAGCTGGCTACGGGCAAGTTACCAGTAGTTTTGTTTACCTTATAGGTCAAGAGTTTTGCGATTCGACACCCTGTGATAATGACGGAGCTTGTAACGAATATGGCTACACGTGTCAGTGTAAGAGTGGCTACACTGGGCGAAATTGTGAAACAGGTTAGGAAAAATGCTCAATAGTTGTACTTGGCTATTCTTATCTTATTACCAGAATAAAAGGAATGTAACATATTCCCACATAAAACACAAATCAATCAACGATCCAACAATAACCAAATCATACACAACATTTATACACGTAACAAACAAAAACCCCAAAACAAATATAGGTAAAAGTTTACAATACAGTATTACAAATTAAAACCAAGACGGTTACAACTTAACGGAAAGATGCCATAATGGTTAAATCATCAGCCAGTGTTGGAACACAATATGGTGGAACTTCCCTAATAATTCGTTTGTTTTCTGATAATTTTGTTTGTCCTTTAACGTAGTTTAATTAGGCCTTCTTTAATATTAATTCATGGCTGTACATCATTTCAGATATAGACGAATGCGATTCAAGTCCCTGTCAAAATAAAGGCAACTGTACTGACCAAGTGAACAGCTATACGTGTAAGTGCGAGGCAGGATATACTGGTGTCAATTGTGAGACAGGTTTGTACATATTTGTATTAATCGTTTTTGGATAACCTTGTCTTATTTGATATGTTATTGCATTATTTTGAAGGATTGACCACACGTCATGTACACCAACCGCATCTTGGTTTAATGAAGTCTCACCAAGTCCCATCTAATAGGTATTCACTTTCAGATATAGACGAGTGCGATCCAAGCCCCTGTCAAAATGAAGGCACATGTATTGACAAAGTAAACAGATATACGTGTAAATGCAAGGCTGAATTCGCTGGAGTCAATTGTACAAGTATGTAAAGATATTAAATAGTTGGTTTAACCCCAATGCGGGCGGGGGGGGGGGGCGGCGTCGAATTTTCCCCGGTACTTTTCTGCCATGAAATTTTTTTTTGTAATTGTAGTTGCCATAGCTACAGATAAAATACCACTTTAGCGCGAAATTCGAGGTGATAGAGGGTATATTGGCTAAGTTAGGATGGTAGGAACAGAAATAGCTTGAAAATCACTTTGTGCTTTCATAGAATAAAAATATAAGCTGGTTCTCTTTACCTTCTTTTAAATATAGACCATATACGTAGATATAGTATATAGTGAATACACTTTCAAACAAGACATAGTACAAGGTAATTTGACTATTTTTGTCCAAAAACAATGTTTTTTTAATATCACATTATGGCGCATAATTTGTCCACAACTCGCGTTTTGATTCCAAATATTTGATTAAAAATGATTTTTCAAAAACTAGACGTCATATATCCATGAACATTTTTGTCTCCAAGATGTCTGCTAAACAATATCACCATATCTTAACTCGTTTTGAAGAAATTATTTCATTTTCCTCCCCCTCCCCAAAGATTTTTTCAATCCACAGCTAATTTCCCATCTCAATATGCATGTAATTTACAAAAAAAGTAGATATATATGCATCAAAATATTACAAAATAATTTGACATATGTTACAAACAAGTTGCTAAGAGAAAATTGCAATACACTTGCTAGTTTTTGAGAAAATAAATATTCTGCCATTTTGGTTGACTTTATTTATTTTGAAATATTTTTCATTAATTAGTAAAAATAGAAAAAATGCGATTCTATGTAATAATTCTATGTCTATAATTAAAAGCAAAATAAATCATGAAAATTGGTCAATTCTGCAACTTTTGGTTCAGATATGCTTATTATCGAGTCGCTGTAAGTCACAATTTCGCTGACCGAGATGCACTAAAAACGTCATTTTCTCAGCCATTACTTAACCAATGACAAAACGTTTTAAGCTGTTTTATAGCCTTGAAAATTTGAGGATATTCATTTAGTAAAATTAGTATTTCTTCAAATTTTGACCAAACTACCTCAAGATTCAAGAAAGGTATTTACCTACGGTTTTTGGCCTAAAATAGTAGATATTATATACATCTATCATATTGATTACCCTTTTCTGGCTAATAAAATATTATATATTTTTTATTGAAAAATTAAAAACTATATGCCAAAAAAGCTCCACCCTTTGTTACTTTGACCTTCTTTTTGACCTACTTTCCTCGAGAGTTTTGAATGACCTATAATATGGTACCTTAATATTTACCGTAGCTCGTCAACTTTGGAAACGCCGGGGGGGGGGGGCAATAAACTAACAAAATAAGAAAGAAATTATCGCATGATCAATTTGTCATAATGTTATTTTTTATTTTTTATTTTTTGGAGATCAATTATGTAATATCTCCAAATCTTTTTGTAGGCTACATAAACCATATCAAAATTGTTACTTTTAGGCCAGATATTTGACCTCAAATTTTCATGTTTTTCGGACTATCCTAATCCCATGCCAAGGATATTCATTTTTCCTTTTCAGAGGTAAATCATGACTTATAGTACATTTCGATTTGGTCGTATAAATTGCAATGAAATGCTGCAATTTTGGTGAAATTAATTGGCTAATAATTGGGGAAAATTTGTGATGATGGGTGGATTAATGACAGCTTAAGAGATAATCCGATCGACTTTATTTTCATTCTATTGCCCCCTTTTGAAGATAACATATTGGCCAAACAAAGGCATTTGTTTTTGTGGTCAAATAATTATTAGGACTTAATCTAGAAAACCTTGCAATAACGTACCTGCCTTTTTGGCACTGGCTTTGGTGTACTGGGGTTTTTGGTTGAGCAGATATCCCTGTTTCTAATTGCTAATGGGATTGTACCAGTTCTTAATTGAGTTGTTAAAGAGCGTCCACCCCTTATCAATGATGATGTAAGTAAGTATTGTTCCATTGGACAGTCATGTTTGAAACTCATGTCCTCAAACTGGGTTGTGATTCAATGTCTACATGTAATTTAAATTAAGGTGTAAAATTTAAAATAACATATGAGCAACACAATATATATGGAAATACTGACTGAAAAAATCTTTAAGGATAACACTCTCACCCTGCCCTTATCATGAAATGAGCAGTTTTCGGTAAACTTTGGTTTGTCGCAATAATTATGCGAAGTGTAAAAATAGAAACGTCGATGTTGTCCGTTTCTAAACTAACCCAATTACAACTCTGACATTTTGTGCATGAAAATATAGATTTTTAAATTATTTTATAATTCATTATTTATTATTATTTTAAATGACCATTTGCATTCAACGATTTGAAGCACCCTCTAATATTCTATTCCGACAAGATTTGTAAATTTGTTTTAACAAACTTATTAACATATTAAGCTTACAACATGATTCCGTACATGGTTCAGATTTAATAATTACCTTAAACATTACTGATATTTCATATAATTGCAGTAACCATAGGACAATTAAAAACCAAACCAATCGTTGCGAAGATACAGCTGCAGTCAAGCCTTATAGATGATCTTGCAGTAACATCAAGAGGACATATTGTGGCAGTTGGTTTTACCACAAAGATATATGACAGTGATTTTACTCTCATCAAAAACGTTAGCAACGAGTTCCAGTATGTTGCAGTTTCAGATGATGACCAACTTGTATTCACTGACTTGTCACGGACAATCTACTTCTACACATTAGATGGCAGTCCTATTCGCAACATAACGGCTAAAGTGTCTCCATTTCAACTAAATGGTATTACTACACTATCTACTGGTCAGTTGGTTGTGTGCGGTGTAAGGACAGATGGAGTGTATATTGTTGATCAGTCTACAGGGAATGCAACAACCATCCCTGCTTCTGATTCGTTTGTATGGCCTAACTTTGTGACAACTAACAGCAAAGGAGTGGTTATAGTTACCGACCACTCAGGACCTTTAAAAGGGATGGATCAAGCAGGCAACGTACTTTTCACTTACGGAGGTACACGTGGATCAGGGGCGGGACATCTGAATTTCCCCGCAGGTGTCGTCACAGATTCATTGGACTACATAATGGTAGCAGACAGGCACAACCACAGGATACAGCTGCTTGCCCCTAATGGCACGTTCCATAGTTACCTCCTAACAGAGAGTGATGGCGTGAAATTCCCAAGCGCTGTTGGGATAAGCCAAGACGGGAAATTACTGGTTGGGGATCATAACGGACAATTATTCATTATCACATACCGGGTGTAAGGTAAATATAACACGATGACAATAAATATAATACTACAGTATACTGCAATATAACACATAATTATAAGTAAACATGAATATTGCATAAATATATACAGGTGTTGACGAAAATAAAGATGTTCGATATTTAATCATCCTATCTACTACTATATCTACTACATATTACAGTATACGAAGGAAGTGAACGAGGAAATCAGATGGGTAAAGGACGGGAAAAGGTGACAACTTAGAATAGCATCTCTGAACCGACTTGATCTAATACGCAGCCATTTCTTATCATTTATTTGTACTCACATCGCCTTCCTCGAAGTTCTTATATTTCGTTATAAAACCACTGTATGTAAAATTACATTATACTGTATTTTTCAACTAAGCTTGTATTCGCGAATGCAAATAGCGGATACCAGCTACCGGGTTGATTGCAATTTGATGGCAAACTCATTTAAATATAAATAGTAGAGGCCGTGCGTCCCGTTAATTGCCAGCTCCCTTGTATTATGCAATTAGACAGACTGGCTATTCTAATCCGTTATGAAACGTCATTTGTTTTTTCCACTACAGGATGTTTCTACGGAAGTTAATTTGTTTATCTTAGTGTTTAGAGGCATTGTCCCTTGACGCTTTTATGAAATAAATGAACTTTGTGATGGGGTACAATTGTATATTTTTACAGGAACAGTAATTTTTTATTACCAAAGTAGAGCACTTGTTTCAATATTTTAACATGAAGCTTCTGTTTGACATTCGAGAACAAAAATTTGTCCAGTCAAAAATAGATTTCTAATATTTGATCTTGATGACATATATTTATTGATCTTTGTTTTTAAAACTGCAGATGGCTCACTCAATTACGAAGTAAACAAAAAATAATCCTATACACGTTTACTTGGTTCCCATGCATAAAGAGATAGCAAATTGTGCACTGTGCATTCGCGAATACAAGCTAAGAAAAGTAAAAGGTATAAGGTCAATCACCAAAACAATTGATTGTATATGCTTTCATAAATTTTCCTTTCTCAGAATAATATTGTTTGCAATTTAGTTTATGATTTTTTGAACATATTTTATTTATTTAAACATATTTTAAAACAGAAAAATATTAAATTGCATTTGGGCTTTGTGTTTCAGTCCAAACCTGATGTGAGTTAGGGGAATTTGCAACATGACTAACAATTTCAACAACAACAAGATTGATTCACATTGCAATATCCTCGTGACAGTCTAACGTTTGAATCATTAATAATATAATATAATGACTATATACCATGCCAACAACAATGAATAAAACTGCCCGTCATGAATACAATACACAATGAACAATTTCAATAACTACACAATAGCAATGACTATACAATAACAAAACTGCATGATAACGATGCCCATACAGTATGGCCCCACACAATGTGGGCATGTTCTAAACAGTGGACTGGCTCTAGGAAAAGGTGGACTCGACTCTGGGCCATCTTTTAGACACTACTTCATAAAATTACTAAAACGTGGACTTGACCCTCTATACTCCATTATGGGCCAGACTTTAGGTTTCCAGTAAGTATTTTGACTAAAAGATGGCCTCAAGCAATACATATCTAAAAATTGAATTAAACCCACCAATATCATTATCCCGGCAAATGAAGTTCGATAGGGAGATAATGAAGTCCTTCGTTTGTCAAGTCCTTTTCTAAAGCACAATAAAAAATGTGTGGATTTTTAAAAGATCTTCCCTTTCAAATTAAAAACATATAATTTAGAAGGATTGACCACAAAGGGTCGTGCACAGAGCAATGAGTAGACAGTGTTATTTCTGATAATTTTGGGATCTCCCGAAATACAGCTATGCAAGAAGGCATTTTAGTGTAGATTGGAGAGCAGACGCGTAGTCAGCTTTCATTCAGGGGGGTGTGATCCCCAAAAGTTTTTTCAGATTCAGTCAAGGGTAGCGATCGTGGCATAAGCAAGGCAAAAACAAAAAAAGTTTTGTTTTGAATTTTACAAAATTAAGATGAAATATTTTTCTCTTTAAAGGGGGAACAAGGACTGTAGAGAAATTCACAATTTTTTATTTTTTCTGAGCTATCAGAAAACTATCTGAGGTCAATATTTGGCTTAACATCTTCTTTAACATACCCATTTCTAAAAATGTATGAATAATAATTTCAGCATTAAGAAATGCAAATTCACTTCAAAGCTTCTATAAAGGGAGTCCCACTTACAGATTTTTAAGATTCACCATGTCCATAAGGTTCCCAAAGGATTTTAGAATGTTTCACTGACTATTTAATACTGAGATTGCTGCTGAGATATAGTGAGCCACGATTTCAATAATTTTGCCATTCATCACATCACTAAGGTTGGTATCCCCATACAAAAGTGTATCTGATTTCTTAGAGATTGTTAAATTTCTGAAATCGGGCAGACATTCCAGTTCGTCGAGTATTTCATTTTCGGACCATACTAAAATGTCTTTTTATTTTTAACGTTTTGTTATTAATACTTAATAGACGAGGAGTGAAAATGAGAATGTGAGGAGATTAATAGTTCAGAGTATATAAGGACGTGTCATACCTTAATCTCTTCGTTTATATATGCCTTCAGTGAAAAAATATATATTTTAAATCATAATGAGGGACAATGATGTTTTAGACGCCCGTTTCCATGGCAACCGAATTTCACCACTGTTAATGAGGACTATTTCTATTATTAGAGATATCTCTGTCATTTTTTATCCGATTTTGATGATCTTAACGCCAAATGAAAGCTTAAGGAACAAAGTTTATTGGTTTAAAATTATGCAAATTAGCTCATTTGTATATCAACTGTGACGTCATAACCCAATTTTTTGTTCAATAATGGATGGGTTTTTAATACTTTAAACAATACAAACTATTATTTTATTAAATCATTGAGGTTAACTTACGATATCTTATTAAAGTATAAATATTTAACATCATAGCTCCATTATGATATATAATATGAGGCATAATAACTATGAAAAGTATAAATGTAGTGTACTGGAGTTGTTCATTTGAAAATCTAAGTGCTGATAAATGTACCTTTATAATGAAACAGGGAACTTGAAATGGAGTTTCAAAATCTAATCTTTATTATAAAATTCTAATAAATACTGTACTAAATGAAAGCTACTAGTTTACCCTATATACATTTAATGATAACTTGTGCAGATATGTGTGTTAGTGATATATCGGTTACCATGGCAACCATATTAGATAACAAAAAGATTGTTCCTGTTATAGAGTATATATAATCATTTATTATCCCTAACCCCCCTATCACTTACACTGACGAACGACCAATATCTGTGTAATATTGGCAATATTAATGCCGATCGTCAGTGTAAGAAAAGCGAGGGACTAAATACGTGAATTGTGTCTTTGTTAATTAACATATAAAACCTAAAACCATCGACACATTCTCAAACTAGACTATCTTCCTTAACTTCGAGCCAAATTATTATCCACAACGTGACTTATAAGTAGGTGTAAATCGGGAAATAAAAAAATCTTACCGAAACCTAGTCCCGGAGGAAGTTCCGCCATGATACACCGACGATACGTCTGTGCAATTAGGTGGGTAGCAGTGAGTATATCTGCCCGCTCGGAGCGGGACGTAAAGCTATATCTGCCCGCTGATGAAAATATAAGTTTTTACAAACCGGTGTACCTGTAACACGTCCGAGTATGGGATAAACATGTAAATATATTCCAATGTATATTTCCCGCTGCGGCGTATCTCCCGATCCAAATATTTCCGGGAAATGTTTTTTATTCAGTGTAGAAACAGTCAATTTGTTAAAATACCTTGCTAAAACTGTCAAAATAGATCCAGCAGACGGTAGAATTTTTCTTAACCAAAATGATGATGTATTTCTCGAAAATAATGAGAATGAGTACGCTTAATAGAAAACAAACCTGGATATGCAAGGTGTCCTGAAAACTTCACTTAACAGAATCTTAAGAGGTTCTGGACAAATCATTTGATTCTGGACTTGTCATATTTTTTTTCAACGAAATCACATCCACAGGTTGAATTTTTATTAGCTTTTTAGAGAGTGAGTCCTGCCTAGTATTAATTTCAATAAAAAAATTAAAATAGAACCCTATTTGAGAGTCAATCTAATACTTACATTACATTGATAAATTAAGGCAAATCCTGAAATATTTTTTTAAGTGCATTTTTTATGAAATATTATCCAAGTATTTAGATGAAACGGTCTTATTTAAATACAAATCATAACATGATGATATTTTTCATGTAACAATTTTTAATGAAATTCAATTAAAGGGTCAAGATAAAACGAGGTAATTTAGGTGAAACCCTTACATGATGATGTGTTTTCATAACTTCTTTCATAAAATTCCATCATCGAATTTAAGTGATTTATGGATCACGAGAATGTGTTTTCTTGGATATTTTCTATGAAATCCCATCCAATGGTCAAGGTAAAATTTTGATTTTGATTTGGTATATTTGGTCACGTGTTCGAAAGATCCATATAAGGCCCATAGAACCATTTATTACCGTCATTTTGAATGTCACGTGATGGATCCATATTTGGGTTTTAGAACCATTTCGGGAAAGATGAGGGGAAGCCCCTGACACCTGTTTCACGATTTTATCCGAACGTTGTTCGGATCATTTCGGTTTTTATGCACTTCATTATTGTACCGAAGTTTGCCGATTTGATTCGTCGTATTTCGGAATCCTGGTTACAATTTTATACTCCACTTGGAGTATTTTTGATCTACTTCTTATGACGAAAATTCCCGAACCTTGTTCGGATTAATCCGGATTTTCTGACCTACTTTATCTTCCGAGATTTCACGAGTTAACATTCGTCTCATTTCGGAATCCTGGTGACAATTTTATACTCCATTGGAGTATTTTTGATCTACATCTTATGACGAATATTCCCGAACCTTGTTCGGATTAATCCGGATTTTCTGACCTACTTTATCTACCGAGATTTAACGAGTTAACATTCGTCTCATTTCGGAATCCTGGTGACAATTTTATACTCCATTGGAGTATTTTTGATCTACTTTTTCTGGATTTTGCTCTACTTATTATAGTTTGACAACAAGCAAATCAAAAAATTCGACATGAATGGGTCTCAATCGACTTACCTACAGCGTGGAAGCTAGGCACGTAGCCCATGAGGCCAAAGTGCTACCGATATAAGAGAACAAAAG